TTGCTGCTATATTAATGGGCCCAGATTGCTGTGCTTTTTGATTTACTGTATCTGCTTGTTATATTTTTTCCTTTTCCCCATGCTATTAGCTCCCACTTTTCGATATTGTCAATATGTCTACCTGTAACACCCACTTTACCCCCTTTAAGTTGCTGCTTCTATTCTGTGGTGGCTTAGAAACCATATAACGGAGCTTGTTAGAATTTCAGTATATGTAATTTGACAATAAATAGGCTCAAGTGTGGGCCTGAGGTACCTCTCCATGAGCAAGATGCATGAACTTTGTGATATCTATTTTGGCTGCTCAAGAGCTTTTTTGCTTTCTTTCTGTTTTCAGCTGTGCTACAGATGGATGATATGTTACTGTGCTGTGTGCTTTGTGTGCTGGAGGGGCGGGGCTGAGGAGGGAGAGGGAAAGCTGGGGGAAAGGGGACTGTTACAAAATAAATAGAAGACATATTTCCCTGTTCTCAAAGAGGAGGATTAGCAGTCCAGTTAGGAAGATTTGATGACTGAGTAATACAATACAAAGGGTGGTAACAAAAAAAAACCAAACAAACAAGCCCGTTACATTTATGTAATATACAGAAAATTCACTGTAACTTTTCCTAGGAACATGCCTGGCAATATTCAAGAGGATTATTACAGAGGAGTTTATGGAGAGCATATGGCAGATCAAAATCTCTAGCTGAAAAATGAAGGCTGAAGCAAGTTTTCTTCTTTTAAAAACAAATTGTTGAGTTTATATTAAAATGTAAAATGTTAGTGATCAGGGAACTCATTTGATTCCTTTCGTGCCCACAATTTAGTATGCCAGTATTAACAGGAAACAGGGAGATGAGTTTGTTCATCTGCTTATCATGTCACTGACTTAAAGGAATTCTACATCAATGTAAAAATGTTCATGTTTCAGCTAAAGACCTCCCCTCTCATAAGGACTACAGTCAGAAGGTTTCCAGTAAACAGTTGGATGACAGTTCTACAAGTACAGATGAATCTAGATGGAAAGTATGTTGAAATACTAACAAAAATATTTTGTTTTTTATTTAGTAGCATGGATCAGAGCATTTTAAAAGAATTTTTTTTTGCATTTCTTCTAAATTGTTTATCTTATGTTATCCTTAATCTGATTGCAACTGGTGATTGGTTTGTAACCAAGAGCTTTCGGTAGGAACCCAGACTGAGACACCAGTGCCCCTTTCCTGGTCCTGTTCAGACTGGGGAAGGGAAGGGGTGCCAATTTGACCTTGCTGTGACAAAGATTTTTCTTTGTGCTGAGGATGGACCTTCTCTTTCTCATTATCTATCTTTCATACTTTTAAAGCCCTTCATCCTGGTACATGGACCATTTTTGCCTTTCTCCTTTGAATCATTCTCTGACTACGTTAAACTGATTCTCTAATGACTTTTAACCTGGGATTTGTATTATTACAATTTATTGCCATTTGTTATTTTAAATGTGTATTCTGTGCTTGATTTCTTCCTTGGGGGCAATCAAATTTTGGTTCCAAAGCCACTAAACTATCAAGCGAAAGTTTTGATTTTTAGTCTTTGTGGTTTTTTGAAAGAAGAAATAAATGAATTGTTTTATAAAATAGATTACTAATTGTCAGTAATTACTTGTTTAAAATCTTAAAGGGTTTATTTATGGCAGCTAATATTAAGCTAGGTGGTTGATTGAAAATGTTATCACTGCACATAAATGTGTAGCATGGGTGACTAAGACTTCATAAAACTAAATTATAAAAATGTTTCCTACCCCCTACTTTTTCCCTAGGTGAATGAAAACTCATCCTCAAAAGAAAAAATACACTAGTTACCGGTAAGCTGTTTTCATATTTGTATATGGCTATTTGTCTTGAAGTTAATAAGGATAGAACTATAATGAGGACGGCGATAATTGGAGTTATTTCACTGTGACTCTAAAGATGACAGGTAGCTCAGGTGGTAGTATTGATTTTATTTATATATACATTACTTACATGTGCTATTATGCTATTACTACCCTAGAAAAGATGCATATGGGCTGTCAAAAATTGGGTCTGAGGGGCTGCTTTTTTAGCTGCATATAACTGGCAGAGAATTTTATCCATTTTACAAGGTTACTAAACCTTCTGAGGCCAGAAAAAGGCAATGAGTAGAAACTAGTTCATGCTTTTATTTTCCACTGAATTTTCAAGAATTGGACATTGGCAGTCACAGAGGAAAACTGTCTTTCAGAGAACTGAATCACTTGACAAACACATGGGCAGGATCCTTGTAAAAACCTGACACATCTAGGCTAGCACTTCTCAGCCAGAGACCAAATGGTTGCATCTCATATTTGTTCCCCTACTCCCATCCCCAGGATAGCTGTTAGGTCTTCTAAAAGCACTGGATGGCAGCAGAGCTCAGTTTTATGTTCAGATCTTCAACTCTAATTTTGACTTTGATTTTAGTGTAGGGATGGGTACTTCTGTTTCCCAGGATGATAGAGATTACATAAACCAAAATTTAAACTTTGAGCTAATGAGATGATGGTATAAAAGATGAAAATGATTTTTACCCAGATATGCCAGATGGGTAGAATGATAGTTAGCAAAGAGTTCCTTTGGAATTAAAGTACATTTTAAAATGAGGTTCTCTGGTTCTTTTTTTCTTCCAGAAGAAACATTAGGAATGTTAGAATTCTAGGCAGTTCATCAACATTCATGACGATGACCCACTTAGAAGTTGACATTTAGACCAAAAAAAGAAACATCTAAATATAACTAGGAAATTAAACTTCAAACACTGACCCAGGAAGGAGTTAGGGTATTTTTTAAGTGAAAAGATCCATAAACATTAAGTTTTATTCTTTTGAGACATTTGAAAGATGCCTCAAAAATTTTCATAACAGAGAGGCATAATGGATAGAGTATTGGACTTTGGGCTGGGGATAAATTCTACTTCTAACTTTTACTTGGGTAAAACCTGTGTAACCTTGGGAAAGTCTCTGAATCATATAAAATCAAATTTAAATAAAAAATTTATTAAGCACCAACTATGTGCCAGATGCTGTGCTAAGTGCTGGGGAGGCAAAAGCCTGTTTCCTCATCTGTAAAACAGGGATAATATATGTAGCACTCCTCTCACAGGGCTAATGTGAGGATAAAATTGGATTATGTGTGTAAAGAACTTGGTAAGCATTAGCTGTAACTGGGTTTGGGGATTGAGTTTAGGGTGGCTCTTGAATGGGAGTAAAAGTGCTTGGGTCTCTTACAAGGAAGTTGGAATAGCACAGGTATAACAGGGAAGTGGCATTGTTTCCACTTACTCAAAAAGACAGCAGACACTTGCCAGTCTGCCAGTAGAGACCTTAAGAAGCAGAGTGTGGATTGCCCCCTAAAGTGTTTACTGTCAGGGCCATTCAGATCACCCATTTTCTTTGTCTAAAACTTAGGCATGTGTTTTGTTATCACAACCAAGAAGGGTGAAATATTTCAATGAGGGAAGCTTCCTCCAAGTCTTTTGGGATCTTTCTAATATAAAAACTACATGAATAAGTCAGTAGTATTAAGGAGAGAGAGCTGATGCTAAGCCAACTAAGCTCTATGTTTCTAAAACTTCCTGTCTTTGGAATGACTAATATCTACAGTATATCTTGTCTTTCAGATTCAGAGTGTTCAACTGAAGCCATCCCCAACACAGCTTAAATTATATTTATAAATATAGAAAATGATTAACTGTTCAAATCCATAAGTGGTGCTTCTTCAGTAAATACTGTACAGGATTTTACCATGGAAGAACTTTTTTTTAATTTTTACCTTGAGACTTTTTCTTAATTACCCTTAATCCAAATGGATGAAAACTTTCTACAACTGCTGACCGTTGTAAAATACCATGTATATAATCACATTGAAAATAATGCCCTGGAATAGAACATCTCAAATGCTGCTTAATTACAGACTCAGGTTGATTACTTGTATTTCATGTAATGTTACTCCAAGTTAGACATCTGGTGCAAGACCAAGCCAGGAAACCATGGAATTATTTAAAAAGGAGGGGGTGGGAGGGAAGTGGGAAGGGAAGAAAAAAAAAGAAAAAAACTGTGTATATTTAATTTAAAGACTTATTTAAAGATTCACAAGCTCTTACCTAGAATTTTGAGAGAGAGCTCTCTGTTTTCTGTGATGTCTGATACTAGAAACTAATTTGCTTCACATTTTAGTTGTATTCAAGATTTGAAGATGTATTTTATAGACAAGTTCTGTTTCTGAACTTTGTGGAAACACACCAATCAATTTACCAGTTATGATGAGCATTTACATTATGAATGTATAACCCAAACTTTATTTGTAAAACTTACAGTATGTTTTTATTACATAACAAACACTTTTTTATACAGTCACTTGTCTTGACTATACAATATTGGAGTCTGAGTTGTCAGTTTGGTCCCTTAAAGTTTCTAGTTAACAGACAAATTCATACTGTGATTTTATTTTTAATATGGAAATGCTATCAAACTGTGATATACTTATAATTCACTGGTCCTGCATCAGGAGATGGAGTGGGGAAAACTGTATTTAATACAGTTTATATCTATCTGAATAATCTGTATGGTTTATACAGTCTGTGTTGTTCAGAGATGTCTAAAGTTTGATCTTTGTTTTTTTAAAGATTATAAAAGCACTTGCCCCACTGTAAATATATAGCATGTAAAATTTATATAGTATATAAAATACAGCAAAGTCAAAACAGCTTGTTTGTGTTTTATTTTAGCTCTTCTAGCTTTGCTTATTCGAACTTAACTCCTTCCGAGTTGCACTATTTTAAGTAAACAAGTGGGTGACACACTTATTCTTTGAGAAGGATATCTTTTTTTAGAGGGGGGAGGCTAATTTGCTATATCAGGGTTGGACCTTCAGTTCGTGAGAGTTAGGAAAGGAGAGCCAGCTGCAGTGCAAGTAATGATTAAAGGGCTTTCCAATGGACTTACCTGTTACTTTTGCATCTAAAGAATCAGATCTTAGACACTTGTGTTTAACAATACTTTTGACTTTTATTTTAAGTGAACACATTATTTGCAATAGGGTTTTACAGCCATACAACGATCCTATCCACTTTACAGCAAAGTATTATGAATAGATACAGAATGTTTCTTCATGCAAATTGTGGTTGTACACTGAGTAACAAACACTTCAAAACTCAATACATATCTGTACATTATTTACATATTAACTTTATATTTAATTGTAAATAGAAATGTTTTCCAAGAAAATATAAGAAACTGATAATTCACAAATTATAACTAGCTTCTGGTCTACAACAGACCTAACTTCTCAGCAAGCATATCTATTTAGATATATGCATTTATAACTTTAAAAATATGCATTGCTTTATATGAAGCATGAGATGCTGCTCCATCTATAAATTACTTCTATTTTGACCCAGTTTGGTACCACACATATTAAACTGCTCAAAAAAGTTTGTGACCTTTGAGAGCTGACTTGCCTCTAGAGCTAGGTTACTTTGCACTGTAGTCAGTCCAGCTGAGCTTAAGAGAAAAGCTTTCTGAATTACACTGTTCCCTGGGTTGAGATCTGTTTATAACCACAGCCAAACTTGGTTGGGGGAGGAGATTACAGGGATGAGAAGTGCAGCAGAAGCAGCTTACCTAGAGTCAGTGTCCCTGGTTGTGTACACACTACCCCACCCTCCGTATTGTCCCTGAAGAAGGTTTTCGGTCTTTGGCCAGAAGTTGGGGCAAAGTGCAAGCCCTGAAAGCAACTGGGAGAGGAGGAAGATTGAATCTTGGAATGGAGGAAGCAGGGAACTTAACTACTTCCCTGGGCTCAGGCAAAAAAACAAAAATTAGTTATGGCACCTCACAGGGAAAAACGCTGTTTTGTTTTACAAGATCTCTCCAGCCAGAACCTACAAGAGGAGCTCCAAGTGCGGGGAGGGGGGGGGTTGGAGGTCCTCACCCTCCTGTGAACAATACCTTATCTGGCCCAGGGTTCCAGCTACTTTTCCCCTATAGACACTGAGGTGCTTTGCTCCTTGAGAAGCCTAATTGATGGCTTAGTGGAAATGTTGGCCTTATTTCCATCCCTGCTAATACTGTCACAATGTTTAAAATTAATTTAAAATAACGAATACCTTTGGTGGCAAATTAAAAAATTCTAAGTACAACACGATCTTGCTGCCCACACTCCAAAAGGCAAGTGGGATGAAGGAGAGAAATAAGCTAACTACTGTTTGAATTTTTTTAAATGCAGAGAAGTCTGCTACTTTTTGCTATCACAACATAATTTTAGTTATATAAGTTACTATAATTTCCCATGTAAACATCCACATAGGTAAAGTTCTTTTACAAACTACTATGGCAAAAGAACACATGTACTTTCATAAGGCATTTCCTTCATGCTTCCTTTACCAACATGGCTGTGAGGTCAAGACCAGAAAGATACCTGCCCACCCGTGCACCAAGGACTTTTTTAAAAGAATGGTTCTAAGAAGTAATGAGAGAGAAAACATGGAGAATTAAGTGCTCATAGTTTTCAGTAAAATGAACCATTAAACAACAGACTGTTGTTGTGCATGAGAACACCCAATCCTAGGCTGATTAGTGTTTCTATAATCAATCTTCATTAGCAACATTTGGTCTGGTGTATTCCATGAGACTTGCATGGAAAGCTGAAACCCAAAGAGGCATGTGTACTAATGAGGGATATCTGAGGTAGGTACCACTGCCTTTCTCAAAACCAAAATTTAAAATTTACTATATGATTATGGTAAGAGGCCCAAAAGCCCAGGAAAAAAATCAATTTGAGAAATGAGTAGCAATAGTGATTTCAGATACCTTTGGATGACATCTGTTCCATATTGTATCTCTACCTTTTAATGGCCTAGATCAGTGCCTCCACACAATCACCAAGTCTTAGCATCACTAAAATCGAGATTAAATAAATAATTCCACCATTTTGAGTTTAACAAGGGCATAAAAAGTGAAATGGAAATTTGAGGTTTTCCCTGACTGAAGACTTTGTAGTAGGAAGTAATTAAAACCACTATATATTCTGTATCCTTGTGCTGTGCCTGTATCACATAGCCTGTGCAGGTGAGACAAATTTAGTGAGTTTTCTGGTTGGAGAAGATACCTGGTTTCTAATTTCCACTTGTGAAAGAGGAGATAACACCAAGAACAGTCTTGCCATGTAATACTAAATCAACACAGCCATAGTCATAGAGGGACTCCTAAAGGAGAATGTTATGTCCCGCATCTAAATGTATATAGTCATAGAAATAAATAAAAATGGATTAGAAATCTATTAACTGACCCAATCCTAAACTTGGAACCATTGTAGCCTTGTAACTTATTTTACATTTCCTAGATTTTCTTTGGGATTCCAGGCTAAAATATACCTACACCAAAAAGATCCACCCCATTGCCTCTAATATATTTCTGGGACTATCATCTGTGCTATATTATGAGGCTGAGTATTAAGTATTAAAACTCTCTGTATTAAGGAACTTCCAAATTTCCATTAATATATAGGTGATGTATTTGTGATCTGAACTGTTTAAAACAAACCTCAGTGCCATGCAATTAAGAAAATCTAAAAGAATGTATTTGCCCCACAGTTTGATTTGTTCCTCATATGATGGAATATTAAATATCTCAAAACATGCCTAAAGGTGTGTTGCAAGAGGAAAGAGGGTTCACAAATTATTTCTAGTTCATTAAGGAATTTGGTCATATCCTTATAAAGTTGAGGAATAAAAGCAATACTCTGTTTCACCATAAGATTTCGTAGTGCAGATAGCAGAGAACATGCTCCCTATGTTCAGTCAGATACATGTGTAACATGTTTCTGTTTGGAGGATTTCCCTCTTCGAAGAATCAGCAATTACAGTATCAACACCCCAGGGCAGATGTCCTTAACAATGATAAATTGTTTTTTTAGAAAACACTTGGGGGCAAAAAAATGCCACATAAAAGTTTAAGGCACCTTCTCAGCTAAGGTTGGAAAGGAAAAGTTCCCTTTTCTATCTCACTTCTATGTTGTGTACTACTATTTTAATGCTTAATTCCTGGGGCAAATTAAAGCCAAATAATTCTTTTTTTTTTTTTTTTTGGTGATCTGAGAGATTTAGACACTATTAAGGAAGACTTTCCCCTCATAAAATACTAAAAATTCTTTAAAAGATTCCTGGATACCTCTTTCTTCTATGTCCCACAGGATCTAGTCCTTGTCAAATTAAGTATCTTGGTAAAAGGAAAATGCTGCCTTTTACCTTATACCTCATCCAATTCTGTCTCTGGCAGCAGTAAGCATAGACTTGACACTACCTCAATTGTCTACAGCTAGCACTTAAACTAGTTTTTTTCTTTTCCAAAGCCCTTACCTTTGGGAGCTGCATATTTTCAGTGCACATTGTACTTGTGCCCAGGAGTTAAATTAAATTTATAGCTGCCATTCTAAAAATACTATTGTTAGAAAGAAAAAGTTCATTTCATTATAATTTCAGAATATAAAAAGGTATATAAAAGCTATATTCCTATATATCAGAGGAAAAAAGTTCTAAATAAAAAAGTGGTGGCTTTTTTTTTTATCAAACAATTGAATTTGGAATGATTTGCGTTACCGCTAATGGTCATATGTTGTACAACTAGCATGAAGAAGGTCTTCATATAGAGAAAACAAGTTCTGAATCCTACTGTGCACCAGTTTCTGGTGGCTGTATTACAAAGAATTCATACTGGCTAAAAATCATAAGAACAGTATTTTCTAACATCTCCCATCCTGGGCAATATGCTCAATAAACAGGAAGGGATAAATATTTCACGTCTATCAGCCTGATTATTTTCTCTAGGTTATTCAAAATCCAAAGCATACATAAGGCTTCCATGTCTTCTGTTAATTAAATTCCCATACATTCATCCTTGGGAAGTTGTCTGCAGTATTCTATTTAAAGTACTTGTCTCCTGGTGAGTATCTTGCAAAAGGTTTTCTGCATCATCTGTACTCCAATGGTAGATGTGAGAGTGTTGTTTGATCAGTTTTTTCCTTAGTTTTTTTTTATTTTACTTTTACCTGTTTATATTCTTGTTTTCATGCTCCCCTTAATATGGAACTTGGGTGAATCACTGCCCAAACAGCAGAGTGCTATTTTTTATTGGCAATTCTTCTCTTCCTTGTTGCCAGCATATCGTAAAAGGGATCCCTGCTGATACTTGCTCTGGTGAAGGGAAAGAGGAAAAAAATCTATCAGGTCAGTTATGGTTTGACAAAGTTCATTTACTTTCCCATTACAATAGGAGGCTGGGCTAGAAGAAGATTGTTTTTAAAAAATTAAATGGACTTCTTGAGAAGTCTACATATAAGCCCATCAATGTTGTTAAGATGTCAGGGGTCAAACACGACAACTGTTCTACTCCCAGTCCGTACTCCCTAAAATACGTGTGTCAGAAAATGGAGGAATAAGCACCTTTTGGACATACTGTGGTTTTTATTTGAAGCCCATTACTTACTTGATTGATTTGATCCACTCTTCCTTCTCTTCAGGGGTTGGAGCAGATATTCTGTATACGACGTGGTTCCCTTCCACCACTCTACCATCAGCCTCTGTTTTACAGGCTTTTATCACTTGTCCTTTATGGCTTGGGTTATAAAGCTCAAAACAGTTCTGGGTAAAAAGACAAGATAAAGGGAGAGAAAGATATCTTCATAAATCACAGGATCTCACCATGCTGAGAAGCTTGCTTCAAAGTTTATTTAGTTTGCTGGCTTATTATTTAGTTCATTAAAGGTAGAATTTCCAAAAGAGATGTCTTACAGGTTTCCGGGGATCTTCCACTTCTCTTATGCTAAGATTTTCCAAAGGGATAATTCCTCTGGGCTCTTTATCCTACAAGATATAACAGCATTTTGTTAGTCATTTGAAATGGCTACTGGGGAACAGATTCAAAGCTGAGTGTGATGGAAAGGATTACTGTTACTGTTGGAAAGAGAATTCAGCAGCCTTCAAACCATACTCACTGTTGTATATTCAAAGTAATAGAGGCAATTATCTGTCAGGATGAACCACCGTCTCTTCCAGGTTTTCACTCTCCCACCTATAAAAACATAAAGAGTCAGCTGAGTCCAGCCCACCAAGCAAATAGAACATTAGCTTATAAAACTGATTTGGTGCTAGAATCTCATCAATGGCATTTGGAGTTTTTACAAGTGTTACTGACCTTAAGAAATGCTATCAGACTGATCTAACCTCCACCTCTGTCTTAGTGGGCAGAGGCACTTGAACAGCCTAACAGCAGGAAAGATACTAAAAAGAAAGGTTTGTGCCTGAAGAACTAAGGCCCCACCATGAGTCACGTTTCAGAGCAAACAGAACTCTGACCTTGGTAAAGACTCATGAAGTGGATCTTTCTCAAGTCTCAGCTACTGTTTTTCATTCCTGACTGCCCTGTCTGAGGTTAGGGTGGCTAATCCTTTACAATTTTTTTTTTTATCCTTTTCTAGGAAAAATCCCATCTTCATGATTTGGTTTCATTTTCTCACACTGAAACAACTGTAAAAGGATGCCATTGCCTGCTCATCTTGGATTTATTGATTTTAATTTTGTTATATTAGGATGTTATCTCATTACTAAATATTCTAAGCAGAACTGGCATAGTTCATTAACAATTATCCCTATAATTCAACATGCAGATTGAGAATTTTTTTTTTTTGGACATGAACAATTTGTTTTGCTTGACTGTACATGTGTGTAACAGGTTTTGTTTTTCTTGCTTTCTTGGTGGGAGTGGCAGAGAGAAGGCAGGAGGGAGAGAATGTGGGCCTGAAAATAAAATTGAATAAATTAAAAGAAATAATTATCCCCTTATCCAGAATTATCAGACTTAATAAATCATTTAACTAAATCTCAGTATATATACAACTGGATATAATTTATCTGTTGATTTCACTTATCAAGTTTTTTTTAATTTAAAAAAAAAACACCAAACCTCTTTTAATCAACATAAGGCAGATATGGCCAAATTGGTCCCCACTTTCTTTTTTTAAAATACATTTTTATTGATATCTTTTCTTTTTATATCACCAGAATTTCTCCCAGTATTCCTTCCCCCCCTAAGAGAGCTGTCCCATAATGCAAAATATATTTTTAAAGGAAAAAAAGAGGAAAAAATCAGCAATACATCAAAGAAGTCTGAAAATATATACAATGTTCCACACCTGTGGCCCTTCCACATCTGCAAAGGAGTGGAGTTGGGGTGTTCCCACCTCTTTATCCCACTGCTTCTGACATGCATGTTTTGGCAGAAGGAATAGTTATTTAAGATTGGCAGTATCCTTTTAGTGGTTTAAGCCACAAATCATTGCATGGTGACTATGGCTTTAATGTATGAGTCTGAGTTGGTGAGGTACATGGTCAAGAAGCAAGCAGAAGCAAGTGTTGAGATGTAGAAACAGAGACAGGGGAGATAGCATGAAAGAGAAAATGCTGGCTGGGGGAGAAAGGCATTAAAGGAAGGGCACAAGTAAAGAAGTGGAAAGGCAGATGAAGACTTGGGCCGGGCTCTGCTCTTGGTCTCTGCACCATATGGGCTGATCTGATGGCTTGAAGTTGGTATACTCCATAAAAAGGGAGTTTATTCTCCTGTGCTAGGACAGTTAAACTAGACAGAACTGGTTTGGCTTAATTCTGCAGTTCTACTCCATAAAAGGCCTCTTTTAAAAGGTGAGAGAGATGAATAGAAAAAGTTTTAAGTCTGAAAAAAAGCCCAAGGTTCTAGATGAGGAAAAAATAATCTCTGATTACTCCTGCATTTCAGCCTGGACTAATCCTACATGATCAATGACCAACCAGAGAGGCCTAAAACAACTCTAGAGATAGGAGGGTGAAAAGAAGTTTCCACTGATATTTCTATCCTGCCTCGAGTATTTATTGCCCAGCCTATCATATCTTTTCTGCCTTGACTTACAAACTACCTACCAGTAAGTAATTTAGTTAAAGTCATCTATTATTTTCACTTCCTTGGTTGATCAGGTCTAGAGTGTCCCAATAGCAGCCAGTCACTATCTGATACTCTGGTCCAAGGAGCCCCTGCTTCGTGCCATTGAAAAGATGGAGCTAGGGCTCTAGCCTAAAGCAGAGTAGTATAAGAGGGAGGGATTAGTGATTTGAATCCTGTCTTGGCCTCCAACCTTCTATGAAACTGGGAAAAATGGCCTCTCACTTCTGCCTGTTTCCTCAAATATGAGTGGAGACATAGGCCATTGGCCTCACATTACGGATTAATAATTGCAAATACAAATCTTGAATAAATGACAGTAATAATTTTGTATTGTAGCCTTTGGAATAATATCATGTTTGAAGTTTTGTGTTCTCAGGGTAAGCTCTTTAAATTCTGTCTCTCTCCTCCCAGATGGAAGCAGGCAGAAGACAGATGGAGACTCAAATGTGGTGCTTTAGAAGATGTCTCTTGTGCCTTCCAGTTACAGGTGGATGGAGGAAGGCAGGGTTTACCCACAGCAAACAGAAGCTACTGATGATCAACAGACAGGAAGTGAAAACCAAATGAGTTTAATTCTAGGTAATTAACTTTAGGGACTTATGACTTCAGAGGAGCTATTTCCATACGTCACTGTTATGGTACCTAGAAAGGCTTTTAGATCCCAGCCCTCCAAATTGAATTGTAGTTTGTGAACCTTTTCTCAATTCTCCTAGACAAGGCTGGTCTAGTTGGTGGCTAGGGCACTGAATACAGTGGATAGAATGCTGGCCTGCAGTAAGGAAGACATGGGTTCAAAACCAGCCTCAGACACTGAGTAGTTGTGTGACCCTGGGGAAGTCACTTAGCTGCTGTCTGCCTCAGTTTCTTTATCTGTAAAATGGGGGTAATAATAGCATCTACCTCCCAGGGTTGTTGTGAGGATCAAATAAGATAATAATCATAAAATACACATAGTAGGTGCTATATAAATGCTAGCTATTATTTTTACTGTTGTTATTGTTGTTATCATCACCATCATCATCATTATCATCATCATCATCATCACCCACCACCACCATCATCATTATCTTTGCCTTGGAGCCACAACAGTCTCCAGAAAGAAGGCAAAGAATCTTCGCTTGCTAATGCCCTTCTTTGGTTTCTTTATAACCAAATGAGTTGGCTGGGAGTTGTAGCGCACACCTGGAGTGCCTTGCTACTGGGGAGGCTGAGGCTGGTGGATCACTCGAGCTTGGGAGTTCTCAGGTGCTGTCAGCTAAAGCTGGTCAGGTGTCTGCACTAAGTCCAAGCCCCCAGCAGCAAGGGACTACCAGGATGCCTACGGAGGAGCAAAACAGCCCAGGTCAGAAACAGAGCAGGGTCCCTTGCCAATCAGTAGTGGAACTGGGCCCATGAGGGGGCTACTGCACTTCTAGCCTGAGCAAGTTAGGGAGACCTAGTCTCAAATAAACAATAATAACAAGAACCACACAACAACAACCCAAAACACTAAAACAAATTTTCCCTTTAGAATTTTCCCTTCTCCTATGACTTGTCACAAGTCCACATCCCTTTTTTGACTCCTTTTAGCTCCACTCAGACAAGCAGAAGTCCTCTTATCTCTGTCTTGGTCACAAATAATTCTTAAGCTTGTTAACTATAAATTATTCATTTAATAGTCATTTAAAAATATCTTAACACAATGTAGAAGGGCAGTTTCTCCATAAAATTTCTCATAAACCCTAGAAAAGCAGTCATGTTTAAAAAAAAAACCAACTACCTTTGGCACCTGCTTCAAAATTAATCTTGATATTAAGATGAAGCCAACTAATGTAATATCTGTGAAATAAGCAAATGATTTCCTGCACAACTGACTATGCTTACAAAGAGAAATTTCTGGTTTTAGTTTCTCAAATCCCTCTGGAAAAATTTGGCAAAATGCCTTATGTGGATCCATATTTTTATCTTCCTGTACTGGAAACTCTGATAGCAAGAACTATGTCTTTCTATCTATGTTAAAATGCCCATTGTTATGTATATATTTTAATAACAAAAGTCTATTAGTTATCACTTTCAGCTGAAAACTTGCTGCCTTGTGGTCCTTTTAAGGAGAGAAAGATCTTTCACTCATATAATTATTATTGTTGTTATTACTGTTGAATTGCCCTAGGGTAATCACAAATGGATAGGCAGCAAGAGTTGGGATGGTAAGGAATGGATCTGTAATCTTACCAGTATGAGTGTTGCCTTCACTGGTGCAGACTGCAACCTATCCCTCATTCTGTGCAATGGTTGGGTATATCTTTCCATAAATCCTCCACTGAAGATTCACCCAATGTGTTCAATACCTTCTCTTGATTCTTTTATTATTTTGTGAATACCAGTGCTACATTTGGCTGTCCATTCTCTTGCTACATTACCTACCCCCCCACCCACCCCTTTACATTTCTTTCTTGTGCACATTTGTGCACAAATCATCACTGGCAATATGCTACAGCCTAAAAACCACCAGACATGTTTCTACTGCCCTTTGGATCACCCGCATTTATGGTTATTCTAACCCCATGTATCCCATGTTGGCATTAATTACAAAGGTAGGCTTTTGTGACAATATTCAAGATAGAAATGTAGGATCATTGAAAGCACTGGGTAGATCCCAAATGTGATCCATTCCAGTCTCCTCCACCTATTCAATTCTGGTCCTACATCTCACTGTCAATCAGCACCTGTCTAATGCATATGCACTGATGGATTAGGTACTATATTAATGGATTTGGTACTATATTAAATTCCTAAAAACAGAGACTGAGTAGGATTCCTCAGTGTAACAGGCTCCACAGGTCAAGTAACACAAAGTAACATAATAAACACCCTCTCCCATTCTGCTTTAGGAAGGGCTTAACATCAATCAATGAGAAAGAAGCCAAAAGAATGCTTCTCTGTCTAGTGGGTTTAGTTAGTAATCAAGCTGGCATTTAGGCTTCAGGCCTCCTTTTCTCAGTCTAGTCTCTTTTTCATGACCACACTGCCTCTCCATCCTTCCACAAACGCATGGGGTTCTTCTAATTCCAGACTAATTTTCCTAGTTCAACCATACAGCAAGTTGTAAAAACTGTCTTTATTGGTCATTAGACAGCATGTTATCCTAACACCTTACATTTCCTTAATTAGGTCCCAAATGTAATTCTTTTTTTGGGGGGGGGGGAGCACGATGCAACTGGGGTTAAGTGACTTGCCTAGAGTCACACAGCTAGTAAATATAATTCTTAATATTTTAAGTTACGTCTTTCCTTATGAACTACAGGTTTTTTAGAAGGTCCTAAAATATGGGGCATTTTAAAGCCTATTAACCACTTTAGTTCCTATCCTTCTATGAAATCAAATAGATATTGAAGAAAAGGGAGTATCAGAACCTGTACTCAGTCTCAACAATCTTACACTAGATTTTAAGAAAGAGAAAGAGCCACAGTTCCCCAAATCAGAGCAATCTGACAAACCAGGCATGAGTACAGACGAAAGGGGCTGAGACCAAGTGACTGGGAACTGACAAATATGTTAGAATAAAAAATGGAAGAGATCTTTGAGATTTTCTAGTTCAATCCTTCATTTTAGGTAAAATGAGGAAAGTTTAACCTAAGTATTTTTTTTTAACTATGGCTATATTTTACCTTCCCATAAGTAATATATCAACAAAATTATTTTGGACATAACTATTTTACATGCTAAACAAAAATTATTCTCATAGCTGCCAGATTGAAATATGGTTATTAAACTAATCACCTTACCATTAAATCAACATCTTAGTTAAGAGGTAATATAATGTAGAACACAGTAAACTAGTAAATAAATAGTAAAACTAGAGGTCTTTTACTCTCTTGAGGTGAAACTAGTCTGGCTTTCAGTTCCATGACTCAGAAAGACCTGAATTACTTTACTGACAAGCGTATTGCTTGGGTTTATTTCCTCCAATAACTACTTGCACAGCAATCTCCAAGGTTGGACTACTAAGCAAGTCCAGAGGAAGTAGAGATCAAGTGAATGACTCAGCCATAAAGTAAAGCTTTGCACAAGCCAACAAAAGGGAAAGGAAAATCAAGGCAGAAATGAGCAACTGAAGAAGAGCAGGAAGCCATTGGGTACGTACCTCCTAAATGCAGAATAAGCAGAGACAGCCAGTCACAGAACAGAAAGGTGATAGTCATAGGCCAGAAGGAAAACAAGAAGGCACATTTAAACCACTCATTAAGAAATCATAGCCAAACCAAACCAAGAGAAAGTCACAAATAATATGGGAAAATAAAGACACACACATAAAACTATTTGGAGATTAAATGCATTTGCTTCTTCTACAGAAAACTGAGTTGAAATTTTATCTATAAAAATTACTTAACAGTTTTCTGGGATGGATCAATGTAACCTAGTATGTTATTTCTCTGCCATGGAGACTTTAAGAGATTAAAATGCCCTTTTCTGCTGAAGCCTCAATTCTGACATGCCACCATTCAAACAAGAGATTACTAACTCTGAAGTACAACCATCAAGAACATTATTTTGGCTGAACTGCATTTTTTTTAAAAAGGTACTGCCTTTAGATTAGGGGCATTTAACAAGGCTGAATTAGCAGTAATTCCTTTTAGTTTTACAGCAATGGGCTAAAGGGGGGCAGCAACCTATGATTAAACACAAAAAGCAACACAGCAGAATGAGCAGTTCTCATACTAACCCAATTTCAATAGCCAGCCTTCTCTATCTGGATTAAAAAATGTGTGTGTCAAGTCATTGCCATCATCTTCTGGAATCTTAAAAGGCTCATTTTTAATACTTTCATATAAATTCTGTAAGGGGGAAAATGGTAAATTCATTAAAAATCAAAGACACAGTCTCTTCTTTGTTAGGCCTTAGAGAAATGGAATACAAAATAAAGAAAAGTTAGAAACTGAGGACAGTTGTGTTAACTACATATTAAATTTGCTTTTTAAATAACAGAACATTAACAATTACATGGAAACTGGTGCAGCTGAATATTTGTTTTAAAGGTAAAAGAGACACATAGAAAGGATTTGACTTTAAACTGTCATTTTCACAGTTCTAATACAACTTACCCTCAATAATTCCTCAGGGAGATCCCCACCCTCATTAATGCCTCGGTTCATAGATATAAATCGCTCCACTGTTGGTTTATCTCTGACATTGTGGTTGTGGAGGCTGGTGTTTAGCATGATGATTGCAAAAGATAACACATAGCATGTATCTGAAACAAATCCAATGCAAACCAGAGAGATCAGTGAGCTACGGTGGAAGGCTGGGAAAAAGTTTGCAGCTAGTTTTACATGTCCACATAGGCAGTTAGGTTCCCAGAAGAATAAAACCATTTACAAGTCTTAGTTGTGGTTCAAATGAGAAAGACCATTCCTGTTGCCAAGGCTAGATGACTACCAGGACCTGCAAATATGCTGATTCTATAGACTTTTTCCCTTTATTGGGCCCAGACCATTAGAAGAGCACAAGGTCTCAGAATGTTGAAGACGGCTTAGAGGAAAATCAATTCAGAAGGGTGAATTCAACTGGACACATGCCAAACCCATTATATCTTGTGGGATATAAGATCAGATGTTGAGGTTCTATATTCTGCCTGGTTCAAAAGAAAATAGGAATCTATAGAGACCATCCCTACCCTACCCCAAAATGCTGGCCAAATCTAGATTCTCTAAAGCTAGAATATGGTCTATAACCAGTATTGTTTTTCAGTTTATGTCTAACTTTTTGTTTCCTTTCAATGATATATCATTTTAGTTATGGGAATAGTTTTAAGGGTAGCTTATATTCAGACTAGCATAGTATGAAGCAGACAAGCCAGAGGCAGGAAGAGAGCATGGTAAACTTTCCTTCCTCTTGTGACTACTGGACAAGGTACGAAGTCCTTAGAATTAGTATAAAGTTCTCACTGTCCCACTGATGAGGCCTTTATTCTAGTACTGATTAAAATTCATATATATTTTACACAAACAGAGCCTAGACTTTAAAAAGAGATTACACAAGCGCTTAAATGGACCATTGAAAGGAAAGAGGGGGAACAGCCATAGACGTGAAGTCAGTTCCTTGGAGAGAGACCAATGCAATCATGTGGCTCATCCAAGGAGCCATATGGCCCCAAGGATGGCGGTGGATGGAGGCAATAGTAGGCTGGCAAGGAGTTCCTGAGCCAAGGCCAAGAACCTGGTTCAAGTGGGTAGCTGTAGGGATCAGGAACTAGGAGCGACAATGCATAAAACCATGCTAAGGAGGGGCAAACCCAGACTATGTTCTTCAATAGTAATATGACTTGTGGCTTTTTCAGATACGCAGAACTGGAGTTGACTCTCTAGTGACCTTAGGTTCTTTACTTGCTTGGGGGAAGGGGGGGTGTTCCAACCCCAGGATAGTGCTGTAAGTCTGGAGTAATTGTACAGATTTCCTTTGGTGTATTGTTTGGACTATATGGCTATTGAAGTCCCTTCTCACTGTCAAATTCGTATGATTCTGTGTAGGGGCCCTTTGGGAAGGTGGGACTGAACATAACTATGGGCTGCATGAGTCACAGCAACCCTGAATAATTTCCCGTATGTACGTGTAGGAATAAGGGACAGGAGGTACTCATCCACAATAGCGCAGTCCAGAGGACTGCATAGGTCCTCCTCCAGGGAGGAGGAGTTGCCCCCAGTGGGGGGAGTTGCTTAACTCACTAGCAACCCCAAATACTGTAAGGAAATTCCACCCGAGTTAGTACTATAAATCAGGAGAAGTTTATAGGTGCCTGGTGAAAGGTGGAAGCATTACTTTTGACCTATGAAATTACCTCTGGAGGGTCTCACGTTGCAAATGAAGCCATTCACAATGGAATGTCCATGACTATGGCCTCATTAAGGGAGTCTGAGCCCTTACTCTGAAATCCTCAGAAATATGCATGTGGGACTGGGTAGTCCTCCAAGATGTGTGAGAGATCAAGTCCCCAAGAGAGTGTAGATGATTCGTAAGTGCTCCTGGAATAACAGCAGGTGTTTGGTATAGAAGAGATAATCTTCAGATTTCCTGGCTCACTTGGCATACTGTTATAGCATACGGAACAGGTATGCTCTCCCTCCTATTGTTTTCCTGCATTCTCTGTACTGAAGTAAAATGCAAAGAACATAGTATTTATAGTGAACCAACCAGACAAATGCATATTGCTCCTGATTACATGAAACCTAAAGAGCAGAAAGAGCAGGTACAGAGATCTTAGAATTAATTAATATAGATGATGCTTGAGATAAGTGTGCTCAGCACAAAAAGGAGGGAACAAGAAATAATACTGGTTATTTACTGGTCTAAAGGTTATTTGGTTCTATCAGTACTTAATCAGATTCTGAGGGAAAAAAATGTCATTCTCAAATGCTTTTGTGATCCTTATCCAAGGCTTAACCAGTTTCTAAAGGAAAACTAAGTCAAAGTTTAGGAAGGAATCCTGAAAAATAGGTTAAAGGGGTGACCAAATGACAAATAGAAGCCTCTTTTTACTAATCTAGTTAAGGAAAGTTCTTAGTTCTCTACACTTGACTATACTGAAGAGTTCAAAGAAGACAGATCATCTCTAATGGTATACCTCCCAACCTTAACATTGCTGGAGTTCTGTTTGATAAACCAAAGTTGAACTTTGTACCCTACTTTAATCTCAACTCTGGAATTCTGCCTTATTACTGAATACTACAACTTTTAAGTAGAAATAATAATAATAACATGAATTAATCATTAGCATTTAAATAGCACTTTAAAATTTTCAATGTGCCCTACACATATTATTTCATTTGATCCTCAAAACAGCCCTAGGAGGTAGGTGTTTACTGTGTAACCTTGAATTACAATAAAGAAGAAGGAACCCCACCTTTTGGTGTTTCTCTCTATCTCTTTCTTTCTTTCCCTCCCTTTCCCTCCCTCCTCCTCCCTCCCTCCCTCCCTCTCTCTCTCTCTCTTTTTCTCTCACTCTCAATTCTACTTGGATAGATAACAATATCTTCTCTGACAGGTTTGTGCTAAAAGAACAGTGTGCTGAATTTTTCTTCCACAGAGGGCAGAGGCCTAGGTGTGAAAAATGATTATTTCTCATTCATATTTAATAACTAATTACTGAATCAGAACCAAGGTTTTTCCCTTTTTCTACTTCCTTATCCAGAAAGCAACCTGTGTGGGAAATCTTAGGTAGAGATTTACCCAGGCCAAGATCTAATCAGACAGAAAAAGAAATTCTAAGTTTAGGCTAATAGATGCCTTCTTGTTCAGTGTGTTTGCTTAGACAGGTCTGGGAAAATGTGGATCCTCCCTTTTGTCAGAGAGGTGATATGGAAATAAGTTTCTTTGACCAAGATTGAGTGACCCAAGTCATGTACCCCCAGACCCTCATTGTAATATAACCCACCCTCTCATTGTAATATTCATTCCTTCATTAAGGAATCAATCAGTTGTTGATTGCCATCCTGTGGAAAACCTGCTCTTCCAAGGGCATAGAAGCTGTGAGCCCACCGCCACAAGAGGTCTTTGGTCTAAGGGAGATGGACAAATGACCATGTCTCTTGAACCTTTTTAAATGCCACACAGGAAAAGGGAATCAGTTTTACTGCTAATGGGCCTAAGTACAAGTCCTTTGAATTTTCTGTTGAATAAAAAAAAAAAAACCCTTTAGTTGATGTTTTCTCAGTCTGAGTGTTTGCAATGGAAGCCAAGGGTCCTTTTCCTTTTTTTGTGTGTGGCAATCTAGACAAAAGCTGATGCTGATATTCTCAGGGGAAACTCTGGGTGAAAACACAAGCCAAAGACATATTTGTGGGAGAAACCCTCAAGACTGAACCTGGAGTTCTGAACCTCAGTAATGGGCCACAGGGTACAGGTAGCAGTGCTCAACTGAATTTAGCTCAGTCTTTTCTAGGTTGAGTTATATTAACTTTAACAGGGGAACTGAGAGGAAGATCTAAAAAACACTATCGCTCACCTGTAGACTGGAAGACTCCAGGGTTGCAGAGACAGTAGCGTGAAGCAAAAGCTTCCATCATGCGATCAATTTTCTGAGCCTCCCCTGGAAGCCTGAAACTCCACAGGAACTGCCTGAAAAAAACACAAAGTAGTAAATGATCCTGCTGAAATTTTTAGAAAAATATACATACAAACATGCCTAGAGACTTGCTCAAATTTATGCAAGTGGTAAGCATGAGAGGTATTTGAATCCTCTAAATCCAGAACCAGTGCTCTTTCCACTGTACATAGCACCTCCCAATCTGATCAATAGATGGTTGTACTGCCAAGCGTGTAGAAGAAAAATACAAATATTCTGCCAATCAGACATGAAGAAAGAGTAATGCTAATAATGGTGAACTCAAAAAGATCGTTCTTTCTGACTTTGATGCCACAAGCACTGATTCATAAGAGGAAAAAAGAGGGAGCAACATAACTTCTGCACAAGTTAGTGGAATGAGGACATATAGTCCAACCACCTTATCATTCATTCTGTTTCACCAGCTCTAACAAGAGGCAGCGCAGAAAAGAGAAGGCAGCCAAACACAAGGAAAAAAACCCCTGTTCTAACACTTCAAGGATTCCAGGTTTTTGCCCAAAGGACAAACAAAGAACAGTCCAGGAGGCTAACAAGTTGTCAGACACTGGGTTCTAAGTGAATATGTTCTAGGAAATAAGCATTTAAGGGGAAATGTTTTTCAAGGATTCATGTTTTCAAAAACCAGGCCTGATTTGTCTCATTCTCTGTGAGATCTATATTTTTCAAAAACGGAATTAAGAGGGAAGTACCTACATATGCCCAATGTCTTTCAGTGCATTGTTGAGCCCCAAAGCTCAAACATTTTAAGAATAACACAAATGTTAGAAAGAAGTGAAATATTTCAAGCCTTCAACTAAAGCAAGACTTAAAGCAGAGAAAAGATGATGCACAGTGGATGATTATAGTGGAAAAAATACACTGGGTGCAGGAAGATAGTCTAAGAGAGTAAAATATTAGAATAAGTTATTTTTACATTTTTCTCAGACTGAGAACAGCTTTAGTGCCCAGGGGAACTGATATTCCTATTCCACGGATCCGCACCAAAGGGTCAGTGGTGAGACAGAGCCATCATCAACAGCAGAATCCTTTATAGGGGCCTCTGTTGCCTAGGAACAAACCCTGATGGAGGATTCAGTTTGTGTCCCTGCTCCAAAACAAAAGCATCCACTAGACAATACAGTGAATGCTAAAAGTTGGTGGATGACATGGCACAGTGAAGCATTTTTGAACACAGAACATATATTTTAGTGGTGCTAGAGATGGCAGTATGCATAAGGAAAGGAGTATAAAACATACAAGTATTATGGTGTGTGGGTACGCTTTGTAATGTGCATTTTTTTTTTTTTAGGCAATTGGGGTTAAGTAACTTGCCCAGGGTCACACAGCTAGTGTCAAGTGTTTGGTCTGAGGCCAGATTTGAACTCTGGTCCTCCTGATTTCAGGGCCAGTGCTCTATCCACTGCGCCACCTAGCTGCCCCTGGATGCCCTTTGTTATGGTGGGCAACTAGCAGAACTGGTGGTTCTTTGCCATGTGAACAAGTGTCCACATTTAACTTTTTCCCACCTATGCTTTATTTTTCTCTGATGTTTTCAGAAATTCATTTACTTGCTGAAAAGTGGCCTTGTTATGGTTCTGCTTTTGAAGTGGCCCTAATGAACTTAAAGTTCAAAAGACTAGGCAGCACTGAAACCAGAATGGGAAGAATATTCCAGTAGAATGTAAGAAGATAAGAACTGTTTTGTTTTACATTGAAGAACTTCTACCAATGCAGACTGGTAGAACCTTCTCAACAACTGACTTATAATTTTGGAGAGTTTCCCAGGTCTTCCAGATACTGAGGCCAGCAGTTTATCCACCACACCATTTTACCTCTCTTGCCTGGGTCAAAGGAGCTACTTAATAAAAATATGTTGAATTGAAAGTCAGCACTGGTTGAAAAAAAAAGTTGTAAAATTTTCTAATTTTATCCAAATCAAAAGAGAATTTTCAACTGAAGTTACATGATTGAGGTGACTGATCCTGGAGGAGACGGATCAGGGACAGGGTGATGGAGATATTTTAATCTCCAAACTGAGTCCAGTCACCCTATTAGTAGAGGCTGAATGGATGTTAGTATCTGATAGTTCAAAGGCAGTCAGCATGAAATGAAGCAGTGTTCTTAGTTTCTGTATTATCAGAATCAGAAACAAAGAAAGCCAGGGGTCTTCGGTGATTTCCCTTTTTGCACAGATCACAATTTTGGTCATATGGAACAAGATGCTCACAAAATATAAACTGCTACCTGGAAACAAACTATCAACTTAGGGAAGTTGTACTGAAATAGCACAAAATAACATGTTAGCAGAGCACACTACTTCATTGTCTGCTGTTACCTAATTACCATACATATTTTCTAAAAATAGCATTACTTTCCGTGTGAAATCAATAACCAAAAAAAGAAACAGATTTTTTTCTACTACTAATCTCCAAATTTTTCTTCAAAACTGAAGATAAATAGAAAATTACAACATTGCATTTGGAATAATTTAAAGATATAATCATATATTTACCTTAAAGCTTGTACAAGATTGAGATCAGCAAACTCATGGAGTTCAACAAAAGCTTGAAGAACTTTAATGTTAAATTCATCTCTAGGAAAGAAAGCCTATGATGAGAAAATAGTTCTAAGACTTTTCACCTTTTTCTTTTCTTTGAAAGTATACTTTCTATGTGTCTAAATTGTACATCGTGGTTTTTAATGTTTATTTCTCTTTAAAAATAACTGAACTTAGATCAGATAAGGAGTTGTTATAAACCACAAAACCTTGAAGCATTGACTATGCCCAAATCCTCTCAACCTCTAGTTGGTAGGAATGTTTTCTGAAGTGAATCGACCTCTAAAAGAGAAACAGCATTTTAAAGTTAATTTATTTTTTTTAAACAAGATGGGGATATAATTATAAAATTATGTTAATGTGATAGAATATAAATGAGTGGAACAGAAACCAGGTGACTAAACTAGATTTTCAACCTATTGCTGTATGTAGCCTGAGGCCAAAGACGGCACCTTACATTTAGGCTCATAGCAATTAGGGCCTGTTGCAGACACATCAGAGCAGTAAAATGCTGCAGATCCACTTCTACACCAAAGTAGGAATTGGCCATAATTAAAGGCTACAGAGTGTCTGGTGCAATAAAGAAGAGATACAAGCTATAAAATCCAAGTTCAAATAGTTTAACAGCAGAAAACTCTGTAACTTAGATTCACTAGAGTACTAGACAAGGCATCAACATTTTAAAACAATGTGCTTGCTAATTAGAATACACTCAATATATTTTTATGTAAACACTACACAAACCATGTCAAGGTGCAAAATTAATTATTTAACTCACACAGAATAACAGTAAAGTGTCTTAAAAATGGTCAAACATATTTATATGGGGTGAGGGAAACGTACCTGGAGTTTTCTGCTAATATTATTTAAATAAGACTCTTGTGTCTCACAAAGAAATTTTGATATTATTTCTGTTGGTATAATTACTGTAACACTACATAGAGCTTCACTTTTGTTTCATGTTGGTTGTCGAGTTGTTTAGGGGCTCTGTCCAGCTTGTTAACTCTGTGGTTTAGAGTTCTGAATTACCCAAGAGACACTGCCCCAAGGGAGTCTATTCAGAAGTCAATCTGTAAGAGGAGAATGTAAGGAAATCTCTCTATCAGAAACCCAGAAAGCTTGGCCCTAATGATTGATCTAAAGGCATCCTGTCAGTTGGTATGTCTCTAAGGACAGAACTACTTCAAAGTGCTTTGTGGTAGAGCAAGGAATAAGGGTAGCAGAGTCGTTCTCTGTGTACTACAGGAAATGTGACAGAAACCAAGTTTTAGCCATAGCATTAGGGATTCATGTGGCTCTATAAAGATGAACTTACAGTATAAAAATCAGATTCACATGTATATTATTCAGGAGCTCCACAGAAATGAAGGATATAACTAGTATCTTTCATACAGTGCACTTATACACCCAGTTCCATCTTCCAGCTCCTGCTCTTTGCATCTCATGTTCAAAAGGAAGACAAAACACTCAGTAAGATTTCACATCTTAGGAGTTCAGTTTTCCTATAAGTTGGACACACCTGCTCTCACCTTTTCAGGTTTGCTTAATGCTTGTCTCCCAAGAATGTACCACAAAACTAACTGGAAGAAAAATCCTTACAATACAAAGCTTTGGGGAAATCTTGAAAATTGATAAAAAAAGAGAATGAATAGGGAAGGGAGAGATGAACTCTGCAAACAAAGCTTAAATATAAAGCATTTTCAGAAAAATCAGCAGTCTCTTAGTGGGATTCCTCTCAAATCAGTTACCTTAAAAGGCTACCTATTTCACTTGGAACTAGAAGAAATGCACCCAAATCTGGGTATTTATTCCCTCTTTCCATATCTCTAATAAAGATTTTGTTTTAAGACATATTAGGCTGGAACACAGACCAGCTCATAGCCTGTCCCTCTTCAAATAAGCAATTAAGACGTAGAAGATTTAATAGTAGTGATGAAAGTAAAATGGTATCAATTTCACCTCTTATCATCTCTTACTTCTGGCTAAAACAGCAGATTTCTTTACCTTGACTCTCCCTTTCTGCCTTCACAGGTGCATCCAAACTACAGTCATACTGGTCCTGAAAATACTCCCTTTGCATCTTCATTCAGTTTTCCAAAGAATTACTTGGCACTTAATCAGACTACTTATTCATTTTATGGTAATGATTTTAGATTTGGCCCCCACATTACAACCATTTACAGGAAGGTCTCCAGGAAGCTCCTTAAGTTAAAAAAAAAAAGTAGGAGCTGGTCTTCTCAGCAGGAATTATATATTTATATTACTGATTTCACTGAAATGCTGTGTTCTGAATGATGTTATCCCGAAGCTACGAAACTTTTACAGGATTTTGAGGAACTACTTAGCGAGCTAGAAGTTCAAGACAAGGCTCTGGCAATCCTTTAGACCTAAAAGAGTTTTAACTATGAAAATTTGTTTTGCTTAGTTTTACTTTAGTAAATAGTTTTGGTACAGGGAACCTGAATGCAAAACTTGTTTCTACTCCCAGCTTGAGACTGTGAGATTATTCATAATAAAAATGCCATTTTAAAAATAGCAACATATCTATTATATACAATTAATTCAATTTCTAGAGTTATACAAATGTCATAGGATTAATGTGAAATAGCCTGTGCTGCAGCATTAAGAGTATGTTACATAGACCTTGCCCTATGAGCTTCATAAAAACATAGTTAACTTTGCTCAAGCATTTTTAATAAGAAGCTAGAAACATCAGATTAAGGCATTTTGGGGGTTATTTTTAAACCTACTTTCTTGTGTTCATGAAAAAGTCTGTTTTAACATCTCCAAGGAGATTTGAGGTCCCATCCTAATATTCATTAACATTAATGGAAGTATGGAAAGTAAACAGACCCTTCCAAAAGGAAAGGGTGGGAGTAGGGGAAAGAATATAAATCTGGCTAGATTCCCTTTTTAAAAATTAATAACTGGGGGAGCTAGGTGGTGCACTGGATAGAGCACCGGCCCTGAAGTCAGAAGGACCTGAGTTCAAATCCGGCCTCAGACCAAACACTTGACACTTAGTAGCTAAGTAGTGGGCAAGTCACTTAACCCCAATAGCCTAAAAAAGTAAAAAAAAAAAAATTAATAACTGTCCTCTCATAGTTTATTCTTCAATGAAAGGAGATAGTGGCTAAAAATCTTGGTGATAGTCACCTCAAATTCCTATTTCTAGGCAAATGACCAAACAGGATTACAAAGCTTAGAAAAGGACACCAACATTTGCGTTCCTGAAGCCTTTTCAGTAGAAGATTCTAAAGGTATTCTGCCTAATACTATACTGTATACTATGCCATACTAATGGTATTCTGCCTAAGCCTCAGAACACCCGTTAGGTCATCCCCACTATCCCTTATTCACCTAAGGACAAAGAAGAAAAAATAATCTGCTCAGGTCACTCAGGGTACTGAGACATAGCCGGGAGGAGATTCTAGGAGTCATTAGATTTAACAGATTGATCTATGGGTAAATAAATTTTTTTTAAAGTGTCAAATGAGAGCAAAAATAACTTAACAGAGAAGCAGTATCTAATCCAGAATCCATGATATAATGTATACTATACAGAACCTGAAATGAGGTATGTAATGCAGGCAATACTTCTGAAAAAAAAAAATGACTTTTCATTCTCCTTCCACTCACCTTTCACCAAGGTAGTCCCCAATTACAGTTTTATTTAGTCCTTCTCCTTTATAAAGGAACTGGGCTATGTCTTCTGGGGTACTCTGCAGCAGGTCATTTTCTATAAGAAACTGAATTCCCTGAAGAGGAACATAAGAGAGAAAGTACTGATTGTTTGGAGCTTGGCATGATATGAGATGTTTGTCTAAACCTAATTTCTGCCAGACTGCTGACCAGTTTTCCCAGTAATATCTATCAAATAGCGAGTCCTTTACCTAGTAATGGGGGTCTTTGGGTTTATCAAAAACCATGCTAATGTGTTTGTTTGCTTCTACCTGTTATGTATTCTAATCTGTTCAACTGATCAGCCTTTCTATTTTTTAACCAGTACCAAACTATTTTAGTGATTACTACTCTGTAGTACAGTTTGAGGAATGATACTGATAGGCCTCCTTCCATTCTCTTCCTTTTTTCACTATTACGCTTGGCATTCTTTTTTTTTTTTTTTTGGCTAGGCAATGGGGTTAAGTGACTTGCCCAGGGTCACACAGCTAATAACTGTCAAGTGTCTGAGGCCCGATTTGAACTCAGTTCCTCCTGACTCCAAGGCTGGAGCTCTATCCACTGTGCCACCTAGCTGCCCCCTACCCTTGACATTCTTGACCATTTTTTCTTTCATATGAGTTTCATTATTTTTTTCTAGATCTATAAAAGAGTCCCTTAGGAATTTGATTGGTACAGCTCTGAATAAGTAAATTAATTTATAAAGTATTGTCATTTTTATTATATTGTCTCTACCCACCCACAGGCAATTAATTGTTTCTCTAATTATTTAGGTCTGTCTTTATTTCTCCAAAGAGTATTTTGCAGATGAATTCATATAGTTCTTGAGTGTACCCCAATTATTTAATACTTTCTGTTGATATTCTGAATCAAATTTCCCTTTTTAGTTCTTCATGCTGTGTTTTGTTGGTGACATACATGAATACTGATGATTTTGTGGATTTACTTTATATCTTGCAACTCTGTTGAAGTTATTGTCTCAATTAATTTTTGTTTCACCTGTTAGGTTCTTCTAACTACACCATTATATCATCTGTAAAAAGTGAAAATTTTCTTTCCTCTTTGCTTATTCCCTGAAATTCCCTGAATTTCTCTTTCTTGTCTTATTGTTACAGCTAGCATTTTTAGCATGTTAAATACTAAAGGTGATAACAGGCATCTTTGTTTTACTTCTGATCTTATTCTCCATTACATATAATGTTTGCTTTGGACTTTAAATAGATTCATGATGACATTAAGGAAAGATCCATTTTATCTCTATGGTTTCTAGAGTTTTTAACAAAATCAACTGGATTTTGTTAAAAGCTTTTTCAACATCTATTGAAATAACCATATGGTTTTTATCTAAATTATTAACATGATTTTGGGGACATTTAGGTGGTACAGTGGATAGAGCACTGGGCTTGGAATCAGGAAGACTCATCTTCATGAGTTCAAATCTGGCCTCGGACACTTACTAGCTGTGTGACTCTGGGCAAGTCTCTTATATTTGCCTCAGTCCCCTCATCTGTAAAATGAGCTAGAGAAGGAAATGGTGAACCATACTGTAACTTTGCCAAGAAAACCTCAAATGGGGTCACGAAGAGTTGGGCACAGCTAAAAACAACACAACAGCAACAACAACAACAACAAAGATAGAAATATAAGAGACTATATGTGTGGAATATGATATATGATATATATCAGCCACCTTCATTGTGTTAGCTGGTTTTCCTTTGTTAGAAATTCAGTTACAGTGATGGAGAAGGTATACTGAGAAATGACTGTGGTATAAAATCAAAAGCAACTGATAAAAAAATTAATGAAAGGTAGGTTATAGGTTTTCTTTGGGAAGCAAACAAAGGAATTGCCAGGTGGTTTTACTGTTCATTAAAAAAAAAAACAAAAACCTAATTTCACACAGTAGTCAATGAATATAGTAGATTCCCTTAGGAGCTTCTGGGATAAGAACTCACTATTCGACAAAAACTGCTGGGAAAACTGGAAAACAGTATGGCAGAAACTAGGCATAGACCAAAATCTTACACCATATACCAAAATAAAGTCAAAATGGGTACATGATTTAGATATAAAGGCTGATACTATAAGCAAACTGGGACAGCAAGGAATAGTTTACCTGTCAGATTTATAGAGAACAGAAGAATTTATGAACATTATGAGATGAATTATGAACATTATGAGAACATTATGAAATGAAAAATTGGATAATTTTGACTACATTAAATTGAAAAGATTTTGCACAAACAAAGCTAATGCAACCAAGCAAGCAGAAAACTGGGAAAGAATTTTTACAACCAGTGTCTGTGATAAAGGCCTCATTTCTAAAATATATAGAGAACTAAGTCAAATTTATAAGAACAAGTCATTCCCCAATTGATAAATGGTCAAAGGATATAAACAGGCAGTTTTCATAGGAAGAAGTTAAAGCTATCTATAATCATACGAAAAAATGCTCTAAATCACTATTGATCAGAGAAATGCAAATCAAAATGACTCTGAGGTACCATATCACACCTATCAGATTGGCTAACATGACAACAGGGAAATGATAAATGATGAAGAAGATGTGGGAAAATTGGAACACTAATGCATTGTTAGTGGAGTTGTAAACTGATCCAATCATTTTGGAGAGCAAATTGAAACTATGCCCAAAGGGCTATAAAAAATGTGTATATCCTTTGACCCAGCAATACCACTTCTAGGTCTGTATCCCAAAGAGATCATAAAAATATACAAAAATATTTATAGCAGTTCTTTTTGTGGTGGCCAAGAATTGGAAATTGAGGGGATGCCCATCAATTGGGGAATGGCTGAACAAGTTGTGGTATATGAATGTAATGGAATACTATTGTGCTATAAGAAATGATGAGCAAGGGGACTTCAGAAAAACCTGGAAAGACTTGTATGAAGTGATGCTGAGAACATAGTACACAGTAACAGCCACATTGTTCAATGACTAACTTTGATAGACCTAGTTTTTCTCAGCAATGCAAAGCTATCCACATCCAAAGAAAGAACTATGGAGTTTGAATGCAGATACAAATATACTATTTGCTTTTTTTCCTTCTGTTTTGTTTCTTCTTTCTTGTGGTTCTTCTTATTGATTCTATTTCTTCTTTACAATATAACTAATATGAAAATATGTTTAATAGGGATGTATATGTAGAGCCTATATCAGATTGTATGCTGTCTTGGGAAGGGAGGTCAGAAGGGAGGGGGAGAAAATTTAAAACTCAAAAGCTTATGGAAGTGATTGTTGAAAACTAAAAATAAATTAAGAATAAAAAACTTAATTTCATATAACATCTTGTACTAATATTTGCAAAAAGACCACTATGAAAACAGCTGTGGCTTATATTGCAACAACTGTTAGAGAAAATGAGAAGGTAAAGAAATTCTATACATTTATACATCCTTCCTTTATTCATTCTATGTGCCTCAAGTGAGACAGTTTCTAGAATACAAAAGCTCCTCTGTCTCATTCAAATTTCAGTTCAATGACAAATCTCACCCACTTCTGTTAAAAAAAAATTTTTGAGGGGCCTCTACACATGAGTCTTGTTTCCAGAAATATTAATTCAGAAAGGAGGGAGGTGGGGGCAAGGGGGAGTTGTTCTGTTTCCTGAGTTATGAGACCTGATTCTGATCCATGCTCTTATATTCACTACTTGGTCATCTTACCACTAGAACGATGTCCCTTTCATCTTCCTTGGATGCTGGATACCACCTACTTGGGTGGAGTATGGTCCTGAGAATCATGGCCCTTGCTCAGAGAATGGGATGGAGTTTCCCAAACTGCCCATTCTCCCTGATGAAATCTGTCATGAAGCCCCTGTTACTCCCTACTGCCACCTCCATGTAAACAGAATTTTGCTTCCTTTATATTTTTAGGACTAGATGTGCTTCCCACTCCTTACCCACACTCCATTCCCTCCAGACTACCTTATTTTATCTCATCCCATACCCCCACATGCCACCCTTTCCAACCTTCCCTAGCAGGTGAAGGGACCAAAGACCACTTTTCTTCCTCTACTCTCAAACCCAAGTAGAATAGGAACAGGAACATGTTTGGTTTCTCTTTGATATTTACCTTCCCTCTTCTCACCAAAATGACTTGCTTTTGACTTTGCCTTCTCTGAGTCAAGATGATAGAGTGGTAGGAAGAGCAAAAGCAAAGCCCTCCACCTTCCACCAAAAATAAAATAAAATAAAAACAAACTCAAGATTCAAAATAGATCTTGAAAATGTACCAGATCATTCCTGATCAGGAAATCCAAGAGAAAAAAAAAATCACACCGAATCATTTTTCCAGCCCAGGTCTGGCAAAGAGAGACATAAAGAGAGATCTACAGAGTAGCATGGGATGAGGGGCACAGAAGTGAGCTGAGGAAAGTGTCGAGCCAGGAATGACCATGTGGAGCATTCCAGTGCAAGAAGAAGCTGTGCATCATGGAGGGTAAGAAGTTCCAAATCCAGCAAAAGGGGGTGTCCAATCTTGTGCAGGGTGCAGGATGCCAATTGGCAGCTCTGTTGCTCATTTCCCAGTTCGAGGTCACAGATCCAGAGTTGACTAAGGATGGGACCTATGCCTTGGGGGTAGTTTTCCAGGGTGAGGAGGAACAAAGGTTGAATACTGATCAATGAATAATTTCATAAGGAAGCAACAATTGTGTGGTTCTGACCCCAGAAGAAGAGTAGGGTCTTAGTTCCAGCTTCTATTCCAGACAAAAGCATGCAGAAGAAGAAGTAGGGCAGGAATACTAGACAAAATGAAAAGTCCTAACTTCTGTCACTCTGAACTAGCAGAGCCAGGGAAAATTCACAGGTGTATTGTTCAGACCAAAGCACTTGCAGAGCTCATACCAGGAAGGCAGAAATTAGACTTTGCCCTGGATCAGACCACTTTGAAGGTGAGCACTGAAAGCTTGTAGGTCCCCAGCATGAGCTATCTCTGAGATCCTGGAATAACTCAACATTCAATACTTCAAGAAAACAGCAGCAGTGCTAGCTCAGTTATTCCCTCTGGAATTGCCCAATCCTAATGTGAAGTCCAAAATTAGGGAGCATGCTAGAAGAA